TAATTTTCCACTGCCCTTTTCCAGTAATTTTATTTAAATTATTTAGAATCATATGGATTCACCTGTCTGTCTGAAGTACCATTCCCACTGGTCTGCTCATTACTACAGAGCCTCTGGCTGTTCATAGTTTAGTCCTCAACACAGCTTTTGAAAAAGAATGTAATTGATTTCAGAAGTTTTCTTCATAAAACAGGGCCATATGGGACTTAGTTTCTCTCAGGCCAAAGAAGACTACTCTTGTTGCAGGGATTCCAGCCACCCACCTCACATATACGAAGTTTGGGAGAGCGCCCTCCCACCAATGCTGTGATTTAAAGCATTGAATTAGTATGAATTTAACAAAAACACTTGGTGCCTTTTCTGTGGACAATAACATTGTAGATATGGCTATAATCTCTGAAAAATAAGAATGGACAGGATAGAGGGATGTGGTGAGGAAACTGGTTGGGTTCATAATGAAGAGAACTAGAAGGGATCAGCATCAGTGATATTCTTTGCCTTCATGTTTTTCCCACTGATTAGATGGCAAGAATTCTGCTTGTGTTTCCCCTTTAGCTCATTAAAGTGGAAACCATGTCTGAAACTAATTGCTAGGGCCCCAGAATATTGGTAGGCTTCTCTTTATCCCTATAAAACCTCCTAAACCTTCCCAGATCCCTTTAACCTACAGACCAGTTTCCTGTCACTGGTTGACCAGTGAGTTAAGCACTCAGGATTTCAAAAACATTAAAAATATAAAGAATGGAGTTTTGATATCAAAGAAACATTGGCTGTTTTATAATTATCATTACTTATTTGCCATTCATCCATTTTATTTTACTGCATAGCATTTGTCGGTCATTTTTTTTTTTAATGGTGGCAGATTAAGGATTTCTGTGTTCCAATAGCAAAGAAGTAACAGTATGCTCACCCCTATTATTTCTGTTTTCCACTTAGAAATAGGAAAGATGCCCACATGAGGTTTTATCTGTGCCCAACAAATAAATGTAAAGCAATGCATACACTATGGAGAGCTCATATACATTTAATCTTCTGACTAGCTAATATTTAGTAATGCATCAACTTAGAAGTTAAAACTAAACTACAAAATTAATTTCTAAGTTTCATAAGCATTTTATTTAAAAATGTTCAATAGTAACTTCCTAGATAAAACATGAGAAATTATGTGTTTAGTTTTAATGAGAATCTCCCCTCCATGCTATAAAGTTTGTATTCAGTCATCCAGACAGACTTGCCCACTTCTTCTCTCTGTCTTCCCTCCAAAAAGAATGTAAACGAATAAATGGAATCTGCTTCAGTTCTCAATGTGAGAACTGACAAGTGCTATCTTCTGTAAAAACTAGGGTAACCGACCATTCCAGTTCTCCCTGAATTTTCCAGATTTTTGGTACTGATAGGCCCAAGTACCCAGAAGCACTCAGTCCTGTGTAAACCAGGTTGGCTGCTCTAAATCAGATGCCTTCTCTAGGAAAGTTTGTGATACTCTGGGAGTGAAGAGCCAGACAGATCATTAAGTATTATTACTATCATTAAATTGTTATAACTGTCATTCAGAATTTTTCAAAAGATATTGCAGATCTTCATTTCCATTTTATTCAGTTTCACTCTTTCTCTCTCTTCTTCTTCCTTGTCACTTTAGTTCTCTGAACTCTTGGGTGAGCCAGAGGCATGTTTCTCACTCTTGTTTGTAATGCTTTAGTTTTTAATTTGCCTGAAAAAGTTTATCCAGAAAAGAGACCTACTGTGTCTAGTTTTCTGATGGTTTATTTTGACTCCTCTGTTCACTCCTTATTTACTTTGGCAGCTACATTATTTCTGCCCACCTCAGCTGAAGACACTGTCCCGTCACAGAATGTCAGAGGCATTTGCCGTGGCAGTCCTTTGACAATAGCATAAATGCTTATCTCTGTAGTCACCAAGGGCATGATCTCATTGAGTGGGGAACTGTCACGGCCTGTGACTGTCCCATCACCCACACCCTCTTCTGCTGATTATAGCTCTCCAAGTCCATATCCCACACTGAAGGCCTCATGTACTGCACAGTAAGGAGTGAACTAGACTTGAATCTTTAAGCTGATGAAAAATTGGCAAGGCTGGTTTGCATAATTCATTAGGCTGCTTCTCTTTGAATTTTGTGCATAATTTTTAAAAAATTTCCCCTTTACACTCACTTTCTAACACTCTGGTCTAATCAGCTGTGTTATTTTCTAAACAGTTGAAAAGAAAAATTGTCACAGATACACAGGCTGTGAAATTCTTCTTAGTTGAAAATAAGCCGCATATGTCAGTATTCATTCAGAAGCTGAAATTTGCTTTCCTCTGTACTTCTGAAAGCCTAAAAGCAGTTTCAAATCATCTTCCATCATATAGCTGTCTTTAACAGTGCAAAAACAGTTTCCTAGAAATGACTGAGGCTTAAGCATTTTATATATTTTATATATATATATATACGTATATATATATACGTATATATATATATATAAATTCTCTCCATTGGCAAAGAGAAGTACTTTATTAAAATCACTTGTAACTAAGGGTATGTTTAATTGTATCTGCAGCTGTGAAAATAGAGCATGTGGAACAGCCAAGTAGATATAACCCTTGTTCAAATAGTGTCTTGCGAAGGGGTCTCTTTACTAGTTATGCCCTCTCTGAGCTTTGCACTCCTGACTGTGATAGTCAGGACCCTCAGTCCGGGTGTCCCTGGAAGCTTCTTTAACTTTGGAAAAGCAAGAAAACGGCTTGTTGAGACTACCCATTGTTGAGAACCCACATTATAGAACGAGACCTATGTAAGTGGATTATACAGTTAACATGAAATTATGTAAACAGCAGACATTCAGTCTAGAATTGTGAACAGTGTTAGCCTAGAGTGGCTGACAGAGTGGTCCTTTGTTCCTGTGCTGCCTGGTTTCCTCTTTCCTCCTATGTCTTACGTTTGAGTCTGTGTGGAGTTTTTGGGGTGGGGCTCTTCTTGTCTCACTCCAGCTAGCACTGCGGTGTTATCAGAGATGCAGTGTTTGTGTCTGAGCATTAAGGACAGTTCTCAGCTTTGTTATTTGTCACTGTGGTGGTTGACAGAAATGGAGGGAGAGGGGGCTTTTGGTTGCAAAGGACAGAAACTCCCTTGAGGTACTTTAGTGGAAAAGGAGATTCCTTGCAGTGATGTGTATTGACTCACACAGCAGGAGCGAGCTGACTTCCCATTCTTTCATGGGAAGTCTGTATTGCGTCTTCCATTGCATCTTTGCTTCTCTTTCTCTGTTTTATTCTCTTCCCTCTACAGATAGAGTTCTTTGGCTTACCCATAGTTTCTCCTCTCTCAGAAGTTCAACTTTCACCTGTCTCTCTGGGCCTCCTTCTAGAATCCAGAGCTTTAAGATGCCGCTCTGAACATTAACTAGCTCAGTATCTTTAATGTTATGAATTGAAGTCTCAGGCTGACATAGAGTATTATGGATTTAATACTTGTCTCTCCCACCAGACTATGTTTCTTGAGCTTAAGGTTGATGTCTGCTTTCTTTGCCATTGTATACCCAATGCCTAGCACAGAATACATACTACATAAATATTTTAGGGATGAACAAAATATGCAGTGAACCATCTGAGATCTAGTAAGTGTTCATCTGGGGAAAAGGTTTCTACATGAGTTGAACTAACTGGCTGAGTCTTCTCGGACACCAGTCAGTTTAGACTGAAGCCACCTTATTCTTTTCTTATTTGCTAAACACTTCTTACTGTTCCCAGGACTTTCAAACTGCTTTGCAAATTAGGGTCAAGATGTTCAGTAAAGATTGATGTGATAAAAACCTTCAAGTAGTAATTGTTGGGAGAGAGATTGGTTCCATGGCAATGTCTGCTTCAGGGACCCCTCACAACTGATGAGAGTGAGTTAGCTGACCCTCCACCAACTCAAAGTCATCCACATGCCATGGACCTACTGTCCAGCCATAGTATCAGTACTGATGGCAGTAATCCTATATATTGATTCCTTCCTGGGCAGCTATTATTCTGGTAACATGAGCTTGTGAAAAGCAAGTGGGTGGTTCTGGAGGTGGTACAAGAGCAAAGATGTGGATCCAGCTGTTGAAAGTTGGGGGTGCACTTTCATTTCCCCATGGAATGGCTTTTCTCTTTGTAAAGTGCCATGGTTTTCCAACTGTTTCCTGGTTTCCCTCCAGAGAATCTGTATCCTGGGTCTGTCTTCTCTGTGTTCCCAACCACACTGCAGTGTGGGAGGGGCCGCTCTGCTCCTTAGGGATCAAGAAAACATTTCCTGATTATAAGGCCAGATGTGACAGTAGGTTCTCCTTGGCAGAAACGTGGACACCAGATACTTCTTGTGTGACACCTAATAATTAGGAGAACCCCTCTCATAATTAAATACTCCTGGTCCTTGTTCTTTGTAAATATTTCACACAAGGATCTTCTAGTAGCAGAAACCACTGTAATGTTTTTTTCTAGTATTAATCCTAAACTGTTTTTTCATGAGACAGATAATATTTTCACAAACATTCTTAAACTCATCTAAGTAAATGTTATTCCCTTCAATCTAGTTACTTTAGCACATGACATGTTTATTCCACTGATATGACTGCCACCTAAAACATTTGTAGAACTATTCTTTAAGTGCCATTAACTTAACTTCTCTCATTTTGAAGTATAACCCAGCTGTATAGGAATATGTGGATAAAGATGTGAAAACAAATATGTTTTGATGCTATTCTACTTAGAAACTTTTACACGTATCTCATCTTTTTCTTCTAAATAATGAAAGATCTAAATATGTAATGAGCACTCCCATTTTTATGTCAGTGTCCAAATTTGCACATGGCTAACTGTGAAGCTCTTTGACTTTGAAACTACCCATGCCACTCCTCAAATTTGGTATTTTCTACTAGACATTAGAAACACTGTTATGTGCATTACGTGGAATTTTAAGTGTCATTGCTGAAAATCTAAAGTATAAATAAGATGGGTCTTTTTCTTGCGATCTGCAGGAAATGTTTGATGTTATACTGGATGAAAACCAGCTGGAGGATGCGTGTGAACATCTGGGAGAGTACCTGGAAGCATATTGGCGTGCAACCCACACAACAAGTAGCACCCCCATGACCCCACTGCTCGGAAGGAATTTGGGTTCAACAGCACTCTCACCATACCCCACAGCAATTGCTGGGTTGCAGGTATTGTCACTTCTCATGTGTGCTTTTACAACCTTTCATTTAAGATTCTACAGAGAAGTTGGTTAGGATGGAGAAAAGGATTGTCCTTAATCTGAAGAGAGAAATATGTGGGCATTATATAATAAATCTAAAATATTACCTAATCATGATCTACCCCAGATGAAGTTACCCAGAGTGGCCCTTTCCTTAGAATTTTGCTCCCGGTTAATTTATAATGGCTCCCACTTAGATAAATCAATCCCTCCTATGTCTGAACCCTGCCAGGAAACCTATTATGCACTCAATACAACTGTCCATTACTTCTCCATGTCACTTCCTAAGGATTATGCAATGGTAACAATGTCAGGCACTGTGCCAAGTTAAGATATTTTGGGGCAAATGGACCTTGGACTACACTTACAATGTAGGTAGAAGTGAAAAGTTGGCACTTTGTTTATATCCATAAATATATTTTGAGTATAAATATTTATGACTATAATAAATAAATATTTATGGACATAAACAAAGTGCAAACAAAGCCTGCCCCACAGGCTGCTGGGCCTGTCCTCTAGCCTGCCCAAAACAGAATGTGCACATGAACAAAGCCACTCTGTACCTAAACAGTGACAGATCCCCGAGTTTTCTTGGGGGTGTGCAGTGTCCCACCTTGCAGGGGCTATGGCGAGTGTCCTTTAGGGAAACTGGAGACGAGCACAGGAGCAGGAGGGTCTCCGGGACTGTTCTGGGGCTGTGCTCAGGGTTAGGTGTCGGGGACTAGAGGCATTATGACACAAAATGAATCTTGTCTTTCTATATCAATTATTATTCCCCATTTATCAAGCAGCTGCTGGAATGTAGCCAAAGCTCCAGCTGGCTGAGGAACTTATAGTCATTTGAGCCTTTTGCATCATGACTAGTTTTGTATTAATGGGTTATAATGATAGTCATATTTACAAATCACGTAAAGTTAACTCTGAGATAAATGGCACTCTGCAATGCTATTATAATTGTGTTACTCCCTTACAAAATTGCATTTTTATAAGTGGAAAGCTGCCATATAAATTAATAGCTTTTGAAGTGGGAAATGAACGTGGGAAATGTGTTATTGTAATATACAGTATAGTATGCACCAGGACTAGTTTTTGACTTGTTTCTCAGCCTATGTGCTGATCCATGTATGACATTTCAACTGACTATTTTGAACTGGCTCCAAATTGCACATTGTAGGATGAGAAATGGATGCATGAAGCAACATATGCTTCTATAATGTAGGTAGAAATGAAATGTTGCACTTTGTTTATGAATATAACACTCTTGACTCATCACCTCTAAGACCTTCACCTGGAGTAGTTCCCCCAGTTTCACTTGAGTTAATGTGGTACTCTTTATCTGGGGCCTATTTGCCCTACTAACTGTGGGCATTTAATTGTTAGACCACTGTCTGGGGTTAAAGGCATAAGCTGTGACTATTGAGTGAGTTTCCCTCTGTGTGAAGATGAGTACCCCTTAGAGGAAATGGATCTGGGTCCCTGGTTTCATGAGGATCCTGTTTCTTACCTGACATGATCTACCTAGGTAGACAGACACAGCTATGACATGTTTTCTCATGACTTGAAGAAAACTGTTGAATAACATTTTCTGTGCCATCAGATAAGTGTCTGAAGATATTAATTTCACTTAATGATATTAGAGAAATTTGGTTTTATCTGAAGATTATTTTTACAGAAAATTTCAGTTGAGAAAGCAAGAATTGTAAATGAATAAATTGGTCAGCTCCGTCATTATTGTCTATGTCTTTGGAAAGAATATTGCTGAGAATATTACATTAATATTGTAGAAACAAGCACATTATTTTATAGGTAGCACAAATCACAATTTCATTAGAATATTTTTAAAATGTACAAGGAACATTCAGCTAGATAAAGATGAAGTATGTGACTTCACGGGGAGAAAGCCTTTATTAGTTCAGGGAGGAATAAAATAATAGATGCTATTCTGAACTTTAACTTATTTCCCACTAGTAAAATAATCTCCATTTCTGCAATAGAAGTGGAATTATTAGGCCTCCTAAATATATTAATTTCTATTCAATTAATAAGAGGCATAATCATGCAGCATTATATAATTAAATTCACAAACTTTGACTTTGCATGTTGTGTCCCAAATAAATAAGACCAGATATTTTGAGCAAACCATTTGTACATCAAAATGCTTTCTTAGGTCAGATATATGGCATCTTTTGTACTGATCCTACTGTTGTACATATATTTACATGTCCTGGATGAATGAAGCTGAAGTGATTTAATCAATGAACTATCTGATATTTTTAGAGTCAGCGTATGAGGCACAGCAACCACTCCACAGAGAACTCTCCAATTGAAAGACGAAGTCTAATGACCTCTGATGAAAATTCTCACAATGAAAGGGCTCGGAAGAGTAGGAACCGCTTGTCTTCCAGTTCCCAGCATAGCCGAGATCATTACCCTCTTGTGGAAGAAGATTACCCTGACCCATACCAGGACACTTACAAACCCCATAGGAACCGAGGATCGCCTGGAGGATATAGCCATGACTCCCGACATAGGCTTTGAGTCTGCAGAAAGAAACAAAAAATTCAACTGTTGACAAGTTTGCCGTAGCACTGCTAGGATAAACCATTCTTAATTTGGCGAGTATAGCACAGTACTTACTGTGCTTATAGGCTGCTGTTATTTGATGCTAATTAAGGGGCAAAAAAAAATGTACATTATGCTCTTAAATCTAGATGGATATTAGATACCCAATCATATAGATATTTTTAAGTGCAACATTTACATAACAGTACCTTTTGTTTTCTTCATTAGATTTAGACACGTCAATTTGTAATTTAGGGTACTTATCAAGGCACATATAAAATAATTTCCCATGCTGGAAATTCCAAATGACCAGTTCCAGTTGGAACCAATTTATAAACCAATTCCTGTTGGAATTTGGGTGAATTGACTAGAAAGTCTACTTGAGCATGTTACAATCAATTTAAAAATCTGAAAAAAAAAACCATAATTAGTAAGAAAATCAAAATACCAATAAAAGCCAAAATCAACCATGGCATCTATTTGCTGGAAGCTAAATTTACACTTAAAGTTGGAATGTATAAACATTTTAATATATGTTAGTTTCCAGAATGGCTTTTCAAACTTACCAAATGTATTGATAGTGCCAAAAAAAAGACCTCAATTAATGCAAAACTTACACACTCTCCTCAGATTTTAATATTTTTATTTCTTTCCTGGCACAGCTCTTGTATTCAAAGTGTTTTGCTTTTTGTTTAGTCACTACTGTTAGCTTGTAGAAGTTGGCAAAAAAAAGACCTAAAAATGTCTTTAGCAGTGTGAGAGAAGAGTAGAAAAGCCCAATCATACCTAGTTATGTGAGATGGAAAATGGCGTGTTGTTTCCCCTTTAATCAACCTGAGCACAACTACCCACATCCAGGAATCTGAAGTCAGACAGTAGGGCGGAGCACAGATCCTCCTGAGTACAAAACTAAACATCTCCAGATGGGAACTCATCTATCCCACTCATGACAAGCATGGGTTGGATATTCCTGCCAGCACAATTGAGTATCTTTCCATTGCTTCACTCAGTCTGTCTTTGAATATGTGAATATTCTTAGCCCTTGACCAAATTCTTTATAATCATGCTAAGGATTTTTGTTTTACATGGAAACATTCAAATTTAATATTCAAAGCTGTATTTATACAAATGATTAATTGAAAAATGTGAAAACAATTGAATTTAAAAGCTTGCAATAAAAAAACTCATAGACTCAGAATATATTTGTTCACTAAAACAATAACAGTTTTTATTGCAGAGAATTATAAAGAATTTGTAGCTCAAGCTGCCTTATTTTTAATGGACACTCTTCTTCACCTACTGTCTTCCCAGTTTTTCCAGTGGCTATAATTATGGAATTAGTGCCCTTAATCTTATATTATCAAGGAAGCCGTAGCTTCATTATGATCCAAGAAATTATTGAAATCGACCCTTTTATACAATACACAAAAATCTTCCAAAGTCCACAAGGCATGCATTTTTCTAAAGTTCAATAGAACCAGGCATTAAACAGCTTTTCTACTGGTTCATGTCATGAAGCCTATTTATTGAAAACAGTCATAATGTATTTTCTACTACCTTTCCCCCCAAGCCTTTCAATGTTCAGGCTCTCAAAGCATGTACTAGTTAACTAAATTTTCTGACCATGAAATTAAGTTCCATATTCTTGATCAGTCATACTTATATTGAACCCCATATGACTTCCCACATCTCCTCCCCTCCTGTTCACTGTGTGTACCCCATAATGAACAATGAACCTGTTTAGTTGATGCTGAGGATGCCTGTCATTTTGTAAGTTATCTCAAGTAAATTGATACAATTAAAAATGTGGGCTCAGTAAATTCTAAAAGCTAACATGTGATACTGGCTTGTGAGGTTCTTCTGTCATCTAGTGAAGCTTACAGAACTTTCAGTTGTAACATTTAAAAGAGTTGTATCCACTAGGCACTTTAATTAACATATAACCTGCCATTATTGAATACTTTGTTAGAGAACAAAAGAGTATTTTCCAGCAAACAAAAATATATTTATTACATGTATAGCATATATTTGCATGAGAAAGAAAACAGCCAAAACATTTTTTCTATATGCTTTACTGGTTTCTTGTTTGTGCGTATTAAAGTATTTAATTGCAAAAAGTGCACCAAGGTGATAAATTTAGAACTAGTCAGCTGTTCAGCTTTTTCTGTAGTAGTATTAGCAACCCGATCATTTAACCACTTTAAGATATTTACATTTTATGGCAGGTGGCTATAACAGCATTTACATATATTTCCTAGTCAGCAAGATTACCATATTTTTCAACTTTTAAAAATCACTTCTTTTTAAAGGCCTCTCAAAGCCTTGCTTCTAAGTCTTCCATGTCATGCTAATAGAGAGGTCCCTTCAATATCTGTGCACAAAACCAATTTGTCATTTACCACAAAGTGTCCATACATGTTTTACTTTGCATTCTTATTCAAAAGCTAACCATCTTGGAAAGGGTTATAATGTATATTTTCTTGATGGATGTATTTAAAATTCTGCTTTGATTTGTCATATTCTTTCCCCTTCCTTTTGTAATAAGTTTATCTTTTCCACATGAATAAGAGATGCATTTTCCTTTTTTTTTTTTAAACCTTAGTGTTTACTGTGTAAATGATACTAAAATACAGATATATACTAAATGAAAAGTTTTATTTTTGCCAAGAACCTTTGGAAAATACATATTCCACAAACACTTTGTTTTTAATTAATTTATTTTAAAAATAGTAAATGATAAGCAGGAGAAACGAGTCATAAAGTTTCAAGGCTGTTTTAATAAGTATAAAACACATTCTGTGATTCAGTATGTGAAATTGCAGAATAGCAATTTCAGCCAGTGAATATGTAACAGTGTAGACTCATGTGACAATGTGAAAATGTAGTACTGGAAAAAAAAAGAATGCAGTTTGTCAATCTTGATGTTAATTCTCAAGGCTATAATGTGACGCCGATATTATAATCAACAGTATTATCCTGTTTATTCCAATATTTAAAGCAACACTTAGAAATGTTTATAAATGACTGATGACTCTCTCTTATCTTTATACAGTTCTACTGGAAAGAATATTGAAATGAACAATTTAGACTGATAGTCTTTCCTAAAAGAGAGTCTTAATTATGACAATATGTCATTGCACTTAGTCTTTAATGAAATGAATTTTTTAAATATAAAACAAATTCTGAGGAAATTATTTGATCCCTTTGAATAATTTGTTAATTAATTTAATTATTATTGTTGTTTGCAAAATGTATTTTTGGAATGTTAACCTCTTTTCATACCTGCATACTTGAACTTGTCTTTTATGTGGGGGCCTTAAATTCATAATACGAAGCTAGAGCAGTGAAAGGGAGGGAGAGAAAGAAACTATGCCAAAAGATGGTTTGCAAATTTAAACTCTTTGAGTGAATAATATCATTAAGTTGTTGTTCAGACCCAGGATGTCAGTTAAGAATGTTTCTAGGCAACCTTATTTTGCATGCTAGTGTATATTTTTTATTATATAATTTTATTTTGATATTTGCTAAAAAATAAAAAGAACATATTGCCACTATAGAAATTGCCCTATATATATTGATAGTTATACTACCTCTTCTCTAGGGAAGACAATTTGTCTTTAAAGAGAATAACACTTTTCAATAAGTAGTGATCAAATTTATTACTCTTACTACTGACCTTGCTGCAAAGCTAAATGCATAACTTGTTAAAATGTACTTTTCCTTTAGATTTTTAACTGTTTCCATAATGTTCTTATCACCCTTTCATTTCTTCTATGTCAGTGAAGTTTTCTATGAATTAGTACACATTTATCAAGAGGTAAGGTTAATTTAATAAATCATTCATCATAGGGAACAAAACAAGCCACAAGGGAACTGCCTTTGTGTGCAACCTGTTATAATATCTAGCCCTAAGTCCAAACAAAGACTTGATGTTTAACTGTTGCTGGTTTGCAAATTCAAATTTTATTGATCCTTGATTTCTCCTACGGGCAATTAGCCATTTCCTGGATAAGGATATTCATTATCTTGGACTCCCATGTCATTGGAACAAACCTCATATAAATGTTTCAAATAAGTAGGAATGTACCCCTTATTTCTTTTCTATTTCTGCCTTTGTCTTTCATGACAATGTTGCATGTTGCTTTCTTTTTTAATTACATAAAACTCATCTTTGAATGATTAAATGAATGGAAACATTATAGGAAATTATGTAATAAAATTGTTTCATTAGTTCTTCATACCTTTAAATATTGTTAATATTCTGAGTTACTTACTCAGGCTGTGCTAAAGGGCAGAGAATAGTCCTTCTCTTTTAAATACTAATTATGATCAAACCAGTCAATATAATAGTTATTGGACAGACAACAAGGATAACTTTTTTGTTGTTGACCTAAGCAGTCAAGTTAGTCAAAATAGTATAATTGGTTTATATGGGCAGACAGAGCTACAGCAATCAAAATTACTTTTACAAGTTTCCTTCTTTTATTAAAACAACCTTCTCAAATGAAATATATCCTCTTTTAGCAACCATCTCTATTTTTTGGATGGTTTAATCCCAAATGCTTCATGTAATCGAGGGACATTATGAGAAGACTAGGAAATATCTCATCAGAAAATCTTGACTAAGGGCTGTAACTTCCACTCATCGTGAAAACCATGTAACTAAGAGTAAAAAGCAATGAGTTTCAGGAAGTCCTAGTTACACATGAAACGTTCCTGTTTCTTTTGATATGTAAAGTATTTGCAGAAAGATGGTAGAAAATGTCACTAATGAATTTAGAGTGGTACCGGAAATACACACTGATGTTTCCTGTTGAAAATCATAAGGAGTTAAAATGAGAACTCCCTAAGAACCAAATGTGGCTGGCCTCTAGCTTTTCAATACCAAGTGTTCTTGGTTATGTTTTGAACACTTAAATTTCTCAACCAATGGCTGTGTCTATATTTATGTAGGTGCCACTCTTGCCCTACTTGCATGCCACTTACACACTTTTAACTGAAATCAGTGTGAATCCTGTACTCGTAAGGGATGTATTAAAAATGCAGGATCATTAATGCTATATTATTGCATACTATTTCTCATATGCCTTAAAATATTTTCTGGGACATTATTAAAATGAAAGCATTTTATTGCCAAAATAAATCTATGTTGTTACTTTTAATCTGCATTAGCAGTAGAAAAATAATGTAGCAAAAACATATTGTACAGTACAAAATTATAGAAGATATATATTTTGCCAATAATATGAAAATAGATCGAGGAGAAAGAAGCACATTTGTTATAGCACAAACTTTAAACAAAATCCACTGTTAAATTTGGCAGTTGTATTTTTTAAAAGTATATAGATTTAATTCTAAGTTTTATCAGATTTATTTCATCTACCATCTTTTTAACTTGCTGCTTGATACTTTTCCAGCAATTTACTTCATAGCCTTGCAGTCTGTGGGTGTAGTTTCTTTTATTTTATTCCCTTCCAATAAAACTTATTAAATTTTATTTTGTGTTAAGACTCATATACTATATTTACTGTTATTTCTTCTCCTTCAATAACAACTACAAAAAGTAATGGCAAATGAGCTCATAGGGCTCTTCAGAATTTTGGACATGTTTGGAATGTTTCATATTTTTCATAGCCTAAAGTCAGAATGATAAATAAAGATGTCCCCAAAACAACAAAAAAGGTTTTAGAGATTCTTCAGTATGTTCTGTACTGAATCCTATTTGAAAAATAAGTTAAAGCCATTAGGTGTTTTTTTAAAGGGTGGCAGGAGGAAAAAACATACATAAAAATACTAAAAATAAATATGACAAAATGATGTAAAAATATTTTCCCTACTATTCTGAGGGCTGTTGATATCCCAAGCTTTTGCTATATCTCCAACTACAAAATGGGGGGGCGGGGAGGAAATCACCTTTGTCGAATAATTTTTTCCTTTTTTTAAGTTTTAGTTACTTATTTTGACAATTTATCCCCTTTTACTTTTCTTATATAGGTAAATGTGTAGCATTCTACAAGGCATGCTGGGTAAAATATACTATGCAAATGTGTACAGTGCTGCATGTTCCGTTCTCCCTCTGCTTTAATGGCTTTAAAGAAAAAAAATGTGTTGTTATTTTTGTGAACCAAAACATTTAAAGAAAATGCAGAGTGCATGCATATAGTATCCTAATTTCTATGGATTTGTTTTATGAGATTTAAATGTGTACAAACCAACTGCATTAATTTTTTTCTTTTATATAATAAATGAAAAAACACTGAAACCAGCATTATACCTCTCCTTGATATTATTCTAGAGATATACTGACGAAATACTGGAAATTAATAGATGTATTCCTGTACCTCTTATAGGAAAAAAAAACCCTCTAAAAATTTACCCTGAAAACACAGATTCGATTAAATAACTATTTCCTTCATGTTATATTAGATGCTATGAGTACACACAAAAAAAAACACTATTAGGAAAGAGTTCACAAGTTAAGTACAAAATGAAATATATTACAGTATATGTGTGAAACAGGATTGACTACAATAAATATAGAAAAATAAACTAGTCAAACCTTATTGTTCACAAGAAACCTCTAAATTATTATTTTAATAATAGCAGTTATCAGAAGTTTCCTAAGGTATCTTGTATCTGTAAGAATTCATGGATGTCATATGGCTTACAACTTGGTATCTCATGTTCTCAGTGTCAGCTATCCATGCTGTGACTTGATCAGCATTTGACTTTTCTCTCATTGCAGTGTACAAGATGTTCAAAAGAACTGTGTACCGTTATTATCATCAGATAATAATGATTATCTAATCATTAGGATCATACAGTCATTTATTACAGCCAGATTATTTCAGAAGCATTATCACATTTAAGCCATCTAACCACCCTGGAAAATAGGCAAGGCATAGATTACTAGACCCACTTACAAATGAAGAAGAAACCAAAGCTCATACCTTTTCTCTCTAAAGTACTTTTACTTAAAATACATACGTTAAATGCTTTTAACTTGTAGTCATCTGAAGCATACAAAACAATGCCTGAAATACAAATAAGTGTTAGCTGAATGGATGGTGCTTCAGTTGCTGAAAACACACTAGGTAAGGTTGTCCCAGCCATCCAGGCATTTCAGCAACAATCTGAAACTTCCAACTGGAAGAATTTCAGCTCACTGCGATCACGCCATCAAACAGCTATATGCCTGAGGCCACCTCTCGTCACCAGCACATCCTCACAGATAAGATGGGTCATGGAGAGATGTCTTGTTTATCCTGTCATTCAACATGCATAGTGGTTGGACAGTGGGCTCTGACCCTTGGCTGGGTTCAAAGCCCAGATCCAACAGTCATGAGCACGAGCAATCATTGCCCTCCGCTGTACCTGGATCTGTTTCTGTAATTTTCCTTATGTTAGGGGTCACATATTCATGTTTCTTTCTATGTCCATTAATTTTTTATTGGATTCAAGTTATTGTAAATTTTCCATTGTGGATAACTTGATCTTGTATTCCTTTAAAGAATGTTGTATTTGTTTTGACAGGCAATTGTAGATTAGTTTGATCCTCTCAAGGTTAGTTTTTAAGCACCTTTAGAACTAGTCTAGAGAAGGACTTATTTGGTTGATTTAGCTTCTCATCTGAAGTCTCTAGGGTGTTTATGGACTGTCCCATATTTTCAGTGAGTTCTCTTTACTCTGGCTGAAAGGGAGCTCATACCTGGCTCTTTGCAAGCTCTGGAGATTACCTGTTTTACAGCTTGCTGGTACTAGCTTTTCCCTCAGAAACTGTCATTGGCCAGCCCCATGAGGTTTTATACCTCACATGTACATGTTGATACGCAGCCAAAGACTCAATGGCTCAACCTACACAGGCTTCTGGAGCTTCTCTCTGTATGGATACCTCAGTCTCTTGGAATGCTGATGTGTCTTCAACTCCAGGAGATTCCCTCCCCCTTTGCAGCTGGCTGAGAATTGCCTCCAGGCAGAAAATTCAGCTAATGGTAAAACTATCATTTGTGTTTCTTATCAGGGATCACATTCTTACAATGTGTATCCTGTAATATCTGAAAACAGTTGTTGTCTAGATTTTGTCCAATGTCCAGTTAATGGTAATGGGGCAGTTCTAGACAATCCTACACTCCTATGCCTTGAAGCAGAAATCTCTCTGATGTCCTTTTGCACATTCCTATAATCATGGGGAAATTAGTCTTTTCAAAGTCTTATAAGGAGTCTGTTTTCACAAATAGCTTCATACTACTCAATAAATATTCCCAATTACTTCTATAGTAGTTCCAAATTTGTATTTCATACATGGATGCTATAGTTGGACAAGATTGTATTAGGCAAATTCCCTTTTTTTTTGAGACACTTAGAAAATAGTCTGGAAGACTATCTCCTTTATGTAGATTATAAAATATAAAGCCCTAACTGCAAGTTAATGTGTATATGACTTCTATTTAATAAGGTGACAGAGATGTGTAGGAGGTTTACAAAATATCTTAGAGTTGCCAAAAGCCTTACCTACCGTGTGCAAGAATGGAAATATTAAAGAGTTAATATAAGTGGGTTACAATACTGTTTTTCTAAAGAGCCTACAGAGTACTTTATTATGTAAGCCATCAATTTAATCCATAAATTAAAATGGATTAATATAACTTTCTTTCCCTTCATGTCTCCCCTAAACTTTGACATTTTAACCATAAGCCCTAAAATAAAACGAAGAAGGACTTTTTCTTGCATCGTTGTTTAAAAGAGACACATTTCAGTTCTCAATGCTGCCCTCTGTTTTTTTCAGGTACAACTTTTCTAGCTCAGACAACTAGGAAAAACCTGTAGACTGTCCAATGTCTTACTCAAATCTGTACTTTTATATATATATGGAGGGAAGATAGTGTATGGCTACGAGAAGAATGATGGAAAGATGTAGTTTATTGTTCGTTTTGTTTAAGCTCATTCAGCTCTGGAGGAGGGTGGGCAGAGCAGGTCAAAATGCCTTCATCATGGCTCCCCACTTTTTTCTTTCTCTTCCTTCTTTACCAAAATTAAGAAGAACAGAAAGGGATGGAGCTAATTGTTTCTGGTTTCTTTGTGGAACAGAAGTAAACAATCTCAGATTGCTTTTTCCCCCACCGGTTGTCTCCCCAAGAGTAGAGACTAATCATCCTAGTTGCCAGATGGCCTAGCATCAAAGGAAGACCTCACAGACAAACCCTCTGCTTTTCAAGTGAGAAAATCCAGGCCTAGAGAGGTTCAGTAACCTGCCCGGCTGAAAACAACATGCGGAATAAGAACTCTCATATCAAATTACCTGATGATTCACTTAAACTCGAGTTTTCAACTACACATCCCACCAGAGAGTGGGTTAACACAGTGTGATACCTGACTGGCAGAGAACACAGCTGTTCAGGGTGTGCAGGCGGGAAGACTGGAGGAGCAGACAGAACATCTGAGCAGCTGTTTCATCATCTTGGAGTAATGCAAGGGCTGGAAGGGACAGTTGAGGCCACACTGTGGAGAACAATGCAATGGCTATCTGTTACTTGGACCCTTCTGCTCAGCGCTAGTGGCCACTATTTTAAAAGATGGGAGTGACTTGCCCAAAATCGTTGCTTCGGGCAAGATTGACTTGAAAGTGTTGGGAGATCGGAGAGAGAAGAGGCCTGAGACCTCCATCGGCATAAGGCGACTTACTTGGACAGGCCGAGGGCTTCAGCTGGGCGTCAGGGACAAGAGCTTTGAGGATGTGAAGCATCGCTCAGAGACCCTTCAGGAACCCATGTCTTTGAAGACCAAGACGTGGGACTTTTGGGTGTAGTACGCGTGACGGGTTGGGGATGGGCACTAGGGCACTCAGTTAACTTGTCTAGATGACGACTCTGTAGAGGAAACAGAAAACTCGGCGAGCACGCTACAGCAAGGCGCAATCGGCAGCCCCCAGCGCCTCCACCCGCGGTGTCAGGGCCGCCGCCTATAGGCCGCCCCGTCGCGCGAACGAGCGCGGCCCGGACAGACGCCCCTCCCCAGGCCCCGCCCCTCCGGCCTCGCGCCTGCGCCGTCGCGCCCCGTCCGCCCGCCCCTCGCCTCCCTCTCCGTCCCCGCCCTCGTGGTCGCCGCCGCCGCGGCCGCCGAAGAGGAGCTGGGGGAGGACGGTGGCCCGCGAGGCTCGTCGCAGACAACGCGGCGGCGATGTCCGCGAGCCAGGCGAGTGCCGCGGCGGCAGCGGCGGGGCCTGGCTTCGGCCTCGCTCCGGTTCCTGGGCCGCGGGTCAGCGGCCAGCGCGGGAGCAGCAGCAGAGGCGGAGGCGCCAGCTCGTCTCTCTCCTCCCCTTCGGCCTGAGCCGGGGAAGGCCGGGCGGCCCGGGTGGCTGGAGGGGGTCCGCTGCCCGATAATGGGAATTCTCTTCACCCGGATATGGAGACTGTTCAATCACCAGGGTGAGGGGCTCGGGCCGCGGCGCACGGGCGCAGGAGAGGGCAGCCCCGGCCGGGCGGGCGGGGGCCCCGGATATTTCCGGGGCGCGGGCGGTGGGGCCGCATGGATGCGGGCCCGGTGCCTTCGGTCCCTGCTGCGAGCCGGGGGCTGCTTCCCGGCCGACAGCCCTGTGTCTTCAGGGGGCCTTCTTAGACCATTGCCCAAATACACCCATTGCTCCGATTTCAGTTGGAGTAGAAAAGGGTTCTTGCCCCATGTGCGACTCCCCTGAGTGGTGCAGCCTAGCTCTCTTGTTACCTCTTCCTCCAGCTATGGGGTTTGGACGGGGAGAAACGCTGGTGTCCTCTGGGACGGGGGTTACAGGTTATGGCCCCTGCCGCACCACTGAGCGACCGAGGGTTGCAGAATGCGGAAAACATAAGGAATCGCTCTTGGTTTGCCCAACACACCTCAGGTTTAAGGAGCCTTGCCTGCACCTACACCCCTTTAGGGAGACAATTCTACGTTCCGAATAGTGATGGACCCCTCTCTGTTTGCCGTATATACACATATGTGTTTAAGGTTAAGCTTAAGGTCATTTTCCTACCCTTGTTGATTATTTAAGTAGAGTGGTGGGGGTTTTTTGTTTTTGTTTTTGGCTGGGTTAAAAATGTTTAAAGTTCTTCACTGAAAGCATTTAAAAACATACCATGTGAAGCATTTGTTAACCCTAGGTAACCAGCAAGTTACCAGGTATAGAGTATTATTTAAGGATGCTTTAAGTTCATCTGAACTCACATTGCCTCGAAATGCATATTGGGTTTATTAAAATTTGTTACAAAATGACTGCCTAAAACTGGGGAAAAAGGATACAATTTTCACAGACTGACTCCATAGTCATTAAGATACAGTATAGTTAGTGGTGTACTTTTGTTTGTTTTTTTTAACTCAAGTTGGGTGATTCATCATTCCTGCTGTCAATGACTTTTTTTTTTCTCTCTTGTGTAAGCTGCTGGTAGTGTTACATCCCAGAGTTTTGCAAAAAAAATTTAAATGAATGGTGGCATCTATTATGTACAGCCAGCCGCTCTCCTCACCTCCTCCGTGGTGATCGAGATGCTCCTATAGGAAGGTGTTGGGAAAGGAGGAGAATTGGAACTTGTGATCTCTAGTGGATCTTTTAAAAGTTAATAAATAAAAATCACAGTGTAGATCAGATGATACCGAATGGAAGAGCAATATTTTAAGTGATTTTTCTGATACGGGAATTTTTCCTAAAGTGGAGAAAATTGGTTCCACCCTGCGCTGTTCTTGGCTAGTTGTTTCTTTGGGGATAGGAGGAGTGAGTCATTTAACCTCTCTGGGTCTAGGCTTTCAACCTAGAACCCCAGGGATCTTGACTATGTGACTGAAGCCTACAAACCTTGAAAACTTAATCTCTAGGTCTCAAGAATTCAAACTTAACATGGCTGTAAAATTGGTGGTGCTTGTAGTAGATAAGATCTAATCTTAACATCCATAATTTTGTATTGTCTTTGGCAAAGCTAGTGTTTCAACTCTGCTATGAAATTTGGAAAGATTTTGCTTGTTAATTTAGCTTTAGTACTACAAGAAAAATTAGGTATCTCCTCTTTTATTTTGAGTGAATGATAAAATTATTTGTCTCTAACTTAAGAATGAATTAGAGCTTTGCCAGCACCTCCTTGCCATTAGTAAATAATAAGGATATGTGCATTGTTACCGCTGAAATTTGCTAATAGTGGTGTTTTTATTGCCTCTATTTTGTGGTTATTTTTGACACATTTCAGTGTTGGGAAATTAATAGTAAGATTAATTAATGAAGTTAAGTTCTAGAAATTCAGATAATGTGAAAATGTGAATAAACTGTCTTATACTGAATGATATGGTTGTCTTATCAGTAGGGTCACTTTTCAAAATATTCACCATTAATCTAATACTTGTTGGTCTTTTTGGTTTGTGTTAAATTGGATATGTGTATATAAGGTATATTTTGGGTTCTTTATTTTACCTTCAGAAGATACAGAACACAACCTATATTCTTTTCACATAAACTCTTGGAAGGAAGATTGGAGGGTTTGCAAAATTTGCCATGCTTATGAAACAAACTGCCACAACTTTTTTTTCTTTAGAACTTTATAGTTTAAGCATAGATGGGTTGAGAGCACAGTGAAAGCAATTTTACTTGCATACTGCTTAAACTTGAAAAAGCCAGAGGCTGTGTTGAGGTGATATTTACATTCAGTACAGCATAAACTTTGTCCTACATACTCTTTCATTCATCATTTAAAGAAAAAATATGTTAGAGCAGTCCTTTGAAGTAATTATCCTCTACCCGGAAAAGGGGGAACTGAGGTTCCAGTGGAGTGATTTTCCTAGGCCACAGAACTGGTAAATGCCAAATTAAAAAACTGAATATGTTGCAGATACTGGTCCAATTAAAGAAGTCATTGGCATAATTTTTTCCTATTATTATTAGTATTATTATTATTTGCCATGTTAACAATTTCTCAGGTACTGAGTCTTTACAACTTTAGGACTTTGAGGAGTGACCATTAGTATCTGTCAGTATAGAAGAGCTTGTGATCAGTGGTTTGTTTATTAAACAAATACTTTTGAACACCTGGTTTTTGCCAGGAACTGTTCTAGTTGGTGACGATGAGGCAAGGAACAGAACAGACAGATTCCCCTACCTTCGTAGAGTGTTCATTCTAGTGTGGGAAATAAGCTAACTCCATCTCTATGGATAAAATAGTATCACTTAACATTTAGTGACTTGTGCAAGGTTAGGTTCTAAGTGTTTTATGCAGATTAATTGGTTTAGTCTTCACTTTAATTGATTTACTCTTAACTCTGTGAGGTAGATATTCATCCCTCATATGGGATGAATATAAGTCCCTCATATGGTGAATATAAAATTCATCATGTTTATAGGGGCAAAGAAACATTAGGTAACTTGCTAAAGGCACTACAATTAAAAGTGATAGGCCTGGGATTTTAACAAAGTTGGTCTAGTGCCAGAGTTAGTGCTCTTTAAAAGTATTTTTTCTTTGTGTAAGAAGGATTCATGTTAGATAAAAGAAAGAACTTTATAACACTAATGTGACATGTGAAAGAAGTTGTAAATTTTCCCCATTGATAGCCTTGTGTAATGTTCTGATTGATTCTTAGAAAAGAAGTAAGTTATGAATGAGTCCTAGATACCTGGGCTGCTGGAGCCTGGTGCTGGGAAAGCCATCTGTACTTGTTGATTTTTATTGCAAGTTCAAGACACGTAGAAGAATACACGTGGAAGCTGAGTAGCCAAAGGAATGGACTGTGGAAGCTACTACAAATTTTAGCATCCTAATATTCACCCTTTTTGCATGCTCTGTAGATGTGGAGCTGGGGCCATAAAATATTTTTCTTTTGCCAGTTGGCACAATATTAAGCTTTGTTAATAGATGACACTGAAGGATGAGCAGGAAGAAAGGGCTTTTCTTTCCAGATACAGTGTGCTCTCAGCAGGCTCTGCCCTGTTCTTGCAATGTGAATACCTCCAGTGGCTGGCTCTTAACACTGCTTAGTGATCCGCAGTAGCCAGCAGCTTCCCCTAGCACCCACTTCAGTTTATTTCAGCATGGAGACCCTCCAGCAAAATACCTCCCAGTGAATCAGATTTCCCACCACCCTAGAGGGAAGATTTCCAGTACAATCCACTGGCAAGTCCCCACGGCTACTTCTGTGCTAGCCACATCCAGGCCCTCAAATAAGATCTGCATCCCAGTCCTGGGGGACTGGAGGAAGCTCTATCAGCCCTAGTTAGTGAGTTCTCCTTATATTTGTCTTTCCTGTAAATCCTTAGTTGTTTCTTATTAGCCAATACCTCACTACTACAATCCCCTGTAATAGCTATTTTCTTTATATTAAACTTTGCAAGTCCAAATTAAGGTGTAGTTTCTCTTTCCTAATTGGATATCTAATTTTGCCATGTATAATCACTGCTTTTTGTTCAGCACCTTCCTAGGGCAAAAGAAAAGCTTGTTTTTTTTCCCTGAGACTTCACCACCATTGCTAGAAATAACAGCTTTCTTTTCAAACTGTTTTTAATTCATGATACTTTTAGATTTGGAAAATTCAATTTTTAATACAAAAGTGACTTGATCAAATATCTCCCTTTTAACCTTTATATATCCCAGATCTGGCTTATTTCTAAATTCATACTCTATTAAATACATGTTATTCCAGGTTCTGTGTTAGGGACTGGGAGAATACAGAGAACCGGACAGAAATGGATTTTTTGCTTCATGTGAAATAGAATCAGTAGGACTTAGTGATGTTTGGATATGAATGAGAATGAAGAATCAGGATGATCTTTGGTTCATCTGCCTCTGTTTGCGTGTTCTGATGTGTTTCACAGAGATAGAAGGGCTCCAGGATGACAATGACGTTTTTTTCCTTAATTTACTGACTGGTAGTTGGAGGGACATAACCTGGCAATGAATGAACTAATAGGCTGCCTGGTACATCAAAAGGAAATGAGGAAGGAAAACGGTGCATGTTCATGACAAAACAGTGAAGTATTGATTGGAAAGCTAAAGCCTAAATGGTAATTCAACATTCCATCCAAATATTGTAACACTGTGCACTTGTTTGGCTCATCTGAGTAACTGTAACAATGCTGTGGCACAGATATTCTAAAAGAAAACTCAAACTAAGCAGTAAACTTAAAATGAATCACATGCATCCAAGAATTGGAATAGCCAAAAGTTTTATTACATTTCTCCATAAACATTATTTCTTAGTATGCATATTATATTTTAGGTCTTACAGAGTTTTTGAAGTGCATTGTAATTACTTTTTGGCTACAAATTTAAATTTTGCATATAGTACTGCTCTGTCTTGGTCATGGGAGGACCATTCTGAGTGATGAAAAGAGCCTTAAGGATGTTTAAAGGAAGTTGATTTAGTATTAGAAAGTATGAATAATCTAACCCTTTTGTTGGTAATAAACTGGCTTTTCACCATTGCTTTGGTACCTTTATCTTTGAGCCCATTACTCAATTATGTCTTAATATTAACAGTTCTTACTGTGACCCCCATGCTAAACCTTACTTAAGAAACTGTTAAGAACAGCCATTCATGCTTTATTGTATAAACCTCAACACTTAAAAAAAACAAAAACTCAGAGACACGTCTTAGGAGGGAGTGGATAGAAATTGGTAATGAATGTGGTTGTAGTTGTTCAGGTGGCATGAAGAGGTGAAGGTCCCCTGGATCATTGGAATGTCCTCCAAAGAGATCTCAGGAGATTTTTCCTAGCTCTGCACATGGTTGATTTGAGTTTCTTTCTTGTTTTTTTCTTTAAAAATATTTAATCATTAAAAAAAAATCCTCATATGTTCAAGTATTTTAGCTTGTGTTCTCTTAGTTGACTCTGGGAGTCTGTTTTATATCTTATGAGTTTGGAAGAATGTTTGTTTGTTTATTCAATTGTAGGTGACAGGAATTCATTGAGGGTGTAAATTTAGAAAGGGGTTCTGTCTAGTATGGAGAATGGTATGAAATGCTTCCTTACTTCCCCTGTCACCATCTGCAACACTCTTCTGTTTGCTGTCACCATGCCAGATAATGAGTTCTCACCCTGTATCGTCCCTCAGACCTTCTCTCCCTGGTGTGCTTTATTTCTAGGCATTCCAAACAGCTTAAATCTTTATCCATCTCAGATTATCAAATTTCAGCTCACTGATTTTCTAGTTCGTTCTGTATGGCCATGTCACTTTAGGACCCTAGTGGTTCTAAGCTACCTGCTAGAGAAATGAGTAGGTGGATAATATGGATTGTATTAAAATTTTCCATTTACTTGATCTTCCTATTTCTGTGTAAAAGAAGGTACCTATATGGCATTGGAATTCTCTTCTATGCTAAGTGGCAACTATTTGGAAAACTTCTAGCATCTGAAGTCTTTTTCTTAAAGATGCCTTTTACTCTGACGTGTTATAATCCTCAACATTTATTATTTATAGTATGAATATTAATTCAACATTTATTGAGTACCTATCTTGTGCCAGGAAAACTTGTAGTTACTAGGAGTATAAAGATGACTAGCATGTAATCTTACTGAAGGGTGCTTCATTAAGCTGAGAGGATTAGTGTTCATATGAGTAATTGTAAGTGCCCTTTTAGAGGTGTTGTGGAAAAACAGGAGAAAAGGATTTTTCTTGGAAAGCTAAACTTTAAAAGATTAGTAGGGATTCCCTAAATGGAAAATTGGAGAGGATAACTCCAGCCCAGGGAAAAACCGTGAGTAGAGGTAGAGAAACATTTTCCTGTGAGCATATATGGTAGCATATATGAGGGAAAACAGTTTGAATTCCAGCTTAGATACTCAGTGGTAGTGGTGAGAAAGCTGAAGCCTAGTCAGTTATGATTGGCTTTATTCACAAGACTGTGAACTTGTACCTTGTTTTGTCAAAATGGAGATCATTTAAATACGAGAGTGGCATGATTATCAGCTCTATGGTATAGGAAAACTTTCTATACTCTAGAAACAATGAGAAAATAGATTGAAGATAGTTCACTTAGGGAAGGCTTTACAGTAAGAGATGAGGAGGATTACAACTAGGACAGTGGGAGGAGGCCGGTCCAGGATATATTTTTGAGGTAGAATGAGTAGAACTTGGTGATTAGGTTTTGGGGTTGAAGGAAAGACTGAATAAGCTCCAGCATCATCCAAATTAATGGTAAAATGATTAAGCAAATCAAGTAAGAGAATTAGAAAAAAGTTTGAATATTGGGTTTTGAATATGTTGAGTGGCACTGTATCTCTCCACTGGGGAGAATGCAGTTCAGGAGAGATTTGGAAACATGAATCAGGAATTGTCTTTCTGGGTGCTAGACGCTGACCGTGTACTATTTCATTCATTACACAACTCTGAAAGGTAGGTAGTTTTGCCTCTTTTATAATTAGGAAACTTAGGGTTAGAGAAATAAGTCGTTTTCCCAAGGCTACATAATCACATGTCCTTTTTCCATAGTGCTTCCTTTGGTGTGTGACAAACCACTACCAAATTTTATGACTTAAAGCAATAATTTCCTGTTACCTCTCATAGTTCCGTGAGTTGACTGAGCTCAGGTAGGAAGTTCTAGCTTGGGGTTCTCATTTGATTGCAGTTGGATGACAGCTAGAACTGGAGTTATCTGTGGCTCCACCTGGCTGCATATCCAAAGTGGCTTTTTTATTTGTGTGTCTGTGTCTCAGCTGGAATGGCTGGCACATCTGTCTCCACAGGGTGAGGCCACCCGATTGGCCCGGACTTCCTAACTCATCTCTATAGCAGTCTTGGTATAGTGAGACTTGTTTCCTGGTGTCTGGTTTATCCCAGGGGGAGCTGTCCAAGAGAGCCAGGCAGCAACTGCAAGGTTTGTGATGATCTAGGCTTGGAAGTCATGCAGCATCATTTCTTCTACATCCTGTTGGTTAAAAGTGAGTCATAGGACCAACCCAGATTGAAGGGGGCTGGGGACTTGAATATCCAGAGTCCGTCTTTGGAGATAAGCTTCCTCCACACACTGCTGACTTAGGGAGTGGATTTTAGTGTGGAAATAGGTGGGCCTTAAGAGTGCCTTGCTCAAATGGGAAGAGAGTGCAAGAAGAAACCTCTGGGAAATATGAATGTTTGAATGAAGACCCAAAGAATAGACAGTGAAAACAAAACAAAACATCAAGAGACAAAAAGAAGAAAACTTGGAAGAAGGTGAAACTATAAGCCAGGGAGTCACTGTCTCTGGAGCCGTAGGTTCTTAGATTTAGTTGTTAAATATTACAATGGCCTTACGGCTTATATGTACTCAGATAGCCTACAGTTCACGGTCAGAACTTAAATGGCTTAGTCCAGTGCAAAACATTTACACCTTAAGTCATTGTGATTACACTTGGAATACTTAACTGAGAGTAGGCTTTTGTGCATAGAGAAATACAGTGCTTCTGGCTTCCTATAGAGAAGGGAGTTCTCTCTAGAATGAGGCGGGTGAAGAAGGTAAGGCTCATGGCATGGCACACTTCTTGTGTGTCTTGCTAGGATGTGTTTTGAGTTCCAAGAAGTTGTAAAGTGCCCTTTACTGTGTTGTACCATAACTGAAAAGAATAGAATAAGAAATTTTCTAATTTTTCTTTTGAATTAGTAGATCACTGGTGTTTTCTTTGTTTCAGAGCACAAAGTTATCATTGTTGGGCTGGATAATGCAGGGAAAACTACCATCCTTTACCAATTGTAAGTATTAACTACTTAGAAAAATTTATTGTTTGTTTTCTGCCTGAGTGATACATAATTAATGAAAGCAGTAAAAAATTACATGAAACCTAAGTTATTGTCAGAGGCAGGCTGATCATAAACCAGCAGCCAAATGTAAGCAACTATTTGTAGAGAGCTAGATATTTATGTGACATTGAGCATGTTGTTCAGTTGTTTTTCTCAAATAAGGTAGAGAAATACTTGCTCACGTAGTTTCCTGGAGTGAATCTAGAGTATAGCAGATTGTGCAGTACCTAGTGTCACCCTAAGCTTACTCTTAGGAGCTAGTGGAAAAGAGACATTTGGGTATAAAATACAAAATGATGTCATGCTGATTTATCCCTTGATTGAAAAATGTTAAAACAATCTAGCTTCCTTAGCAATTGTAATATATTTGAATATTTTTTCCAGTTCTATGAATGAAGTTGTACATACATCTCCTACAATAGGAAGTAATGTAGAAGAGATAGTAATTAATAATACACGTTTCCTAATGTGGGATATTGGTGGCCAAGAATCTCTTCGTTCTTCATGGAACACTTACTATACCAACACAGAGGTATGTGTTTTAAAAAACTAAAACTTCTATGAACAGGCTGTTTGGGAAATACCTAGATATGAACTCAATGTTAATCTTTTAAAAATATCACAGTATGTTAATATAAGGAGAATTTAAACATAGTAGAATCTTTGATTCTCTGTGTCAGGGTCATCGTTCTATATATCAGTTGAACCTCTGTAGGGAGAATGGTGATTGATGAGTCTAATTGTGTATTGATCCCAGAACTTGTCTTAAGTAATTGTTTTTATAATGAATTCCACCTCATAATTTGTAACTTCATTTCCCCATTATTATATGTTTTTTCTCATAGTGGAAATTCTGGTTAAATGAGAGGGCTCTGGTAGTTTGAATCCTGGCCAGAATTTTATAATGTATTTTCTTTTATGCAACACAATTGCACATTAAAGAATTTTTTTTCTTCTGGATATAAAGCAATTTAGACATAATCATATGTTTTTATTTACATGTTATTTCCCAAGAGGAAATTTCAGGCCTATGACATTTGAGAGCTCATTGCATAGACCTGTACATTGAAAGGCTGTGACGATCATTTTGTAGTGCTGATTATAAGTTAAGAGAACTCCAAATGTATGTCACTGAGACAATATTAAATATCTCTAACCCTCTGTTAAGCATTTGATCATGTTTTTTGGAGAAGGAAAGGTAAATATGGTTAGTACTCCTATATATAATGCTCCAGGTATGAAATTCATGGCAACAACTTGACAATTAACAGCTTTATTAAATGTCTTGGTCTAGAATGGGTCTTACAGTAATAAAGCAGCATATCATTAAGGCATCAAGTGAGAGATGCGGTAAAGCAGCAGCTCTCTTATCCTTCTGCCTTATGGTTGATAGAATGTGAAAAAGAAAAGGCCCAAAATGTATAGTGGCTTCTTTGGAAATGAAAAGTTAGTTCTAAAAAAATAAATAGTGCATGTTAATAATAGGTAGAATTATCTTTGGCATTGCAAATGCCATCATCAAGTGACTGTATCTGCTTCTCTTTGCCTTGTGCTTTTTGGCGCTCCTGGTGTTGAAGAGGTGCAGCATAGCTCAGTCCCACAAAGCTCCTTTACAAGTCTTCCGTCATGTCTTCTGATACTAGTCTCATCATCAGTTCAGGAAGAGTTCTGCTTACAGGTAGCAGGTGCCATTCATATAAGGAAGAGAGAATGGTTTTAGAGATTTATTTTTTCAATGTGTTGATTTTTAAAAATCGGATTTCATAACTGTTACATTACTTAACTCCCATATACATGCCCATACAGGTAGCAGGTGCCATTCATATAAGGAAGAGAGAATGGTTTTAGAGATTTATTTTTTCAATGTGTTGATTTTTAAAAATCGGATTTCATAACTGTTACATTACTTAACTCCCATATACATGCCCTTTTCAATTTTCAAATTGATATTAATAAATAGTATCTGTCTGGAAGTAACTTAAATTTAGGAGCACAATGTGCTTTTTTTCTTATAGATTTGTAGTACAAATAGATGGATATAGGCCCATTCGCATCAGCATTCAATATGTTAATTTAGAAAAAAACACGTATATTGGCTAGAGTATTAGCAGAATATTCTGATACAATGTTGGCATCATAATCTTTTTTCTTACTTTCTCTTATAATTTAGTGAATATATTTGAATTAGAAATAGATGAGACTTTTAGGCTTCACAATGTATAGTAGGTATCTCTGTTTTTCCAATAATACCATACCATATGGTTCAAATTTCTTGATGTTTATAGCTTGTAAATCAAATAAGCACTTTGTAAATTTTACAAATATTATATAACAACTAATTATTTTTTTATAATTATTTTAGTTCGTAATAGTTGTTGTGGACAGTACTGACAGAGAAAGGATTTCTGTAACCAGAGAAGAACTCTATAAAATGTTAGCCCATGAGGTAAGAAGGATTCTTGCATTAGCTCTGTGTGTGTATGGGGGAGGGTATTTCTATCACATTTATTCTTTCTACTATCTCATGAGGATACTATTTCAAATTGTAAAAAAATATATTTGTTGGCCATGCCTGCTTTATACTTTTGACACTTCCCAAATTGGAATTGTATCTGGAAGCAGCAGAAAGATAATAGAATCAGTTATAGAATTTTATTTCATTAATCCTAGATAAAACTTGGTTTAGAAGTTTTCCTGGGCAAGAAGGCCGAAATTGACTTTCATTTTGCATTCTAAATAAATTACACAGAAGATTATCACTGAAAGTGATATTTTTAAATTCTCACAGACACATAGCAAGTCCTGAATGTGTAACTCAGTTACCAGATTAATATTTAAATGTTGCTGCTGTTAGGTTTCTCTGATACTTTTCCCTTTGACTAAGCAAAACTATATGACTAGCCACATTTCCTTCGTCCTTGAGAAATATTACTGATAGCATAATTTAAAAATTAAACTAATATAGTAAATAATGCTAACAATAGCTATAAAATCATATAGTATTTACTAGAGTGGCACTTGATTATTTTTGCATGCCTTTTATTCCAGATATTATTTTCTCAACTCATTTTTAGGTAGAAATGTAAAAATTAATATTTAGATAAGTAAGTAATTTTTTATTTTAGTGGAATTTTAATGAAGCCTAAGAAAACTGGGATATCTTTGTAATGAAGTTTTGTATTTTAATATTGACTTGATGATTTGCTTTTGAGATTTACATTAAGAATTTTGGTGTTTTCAGGCAACTGTTCAAGACCTAAGGAAACCAGTAAAGTGGTTATGTCCATTGAAGTTCTTGTTTTCCTTGTGGGGATCATGCCCACCAAGATGTACCTTCCACTGTTTTGGACCAATTCAAGCAGCTGTGTTTAATCCCTTAGAGCTTTAAAAAAAAAACTCTTGCTCTTCTGCCCAGGGAGGAGATTCAGACACTGTACAGTTGGCCTTGTTGGGACCCGGATGTAAACTGGTTTGATCTACAGGATAGGGAACAACAACAACAAAAAAAGTCTTGCTGTTTTGCATTGCATATGACAAGGTCTGATTCTAGTTTGAGATATAAACAATAAGCCATAAAAGAGGCAGTAGATTAAAGACTTTTTTTTAAAATTTTTCCCTTTGTATTTTACAAATATTACAAACTTTCTTCAATTTATACCAAAGGGTTATTTTATTGTTGTTTTATGAAGACTTTGGAAAAAGAAAAATAAGATACAAATGTATCTGTCTCTTGGCTAAATTTTTTTACTCTTCAAACAGGTAGCCTCCCTATTTGATTCCTACTGTAATTGGCCAATATATAGCAGGATCAATATATGAAGAGCCCAGTGGTAGAGCTCAAAGTCATTGAATTTTAGTAACTGGGACCTGAGCTTGGGAAGGTCACTTAACCTTACCTGTTGTGCATGAATACACAAAAGCTCAGAAAGTTGACTATATTTTTAGCAAACAGGCATTTTCATCATCATTTAGGATCTTTGGTAGGAAAAAAAGAAAAAGAACTAGAGCCGTGTGGGAAGTGAAAGAAGACTTAATGGGGAGATTACCAGAAAAGTAAGGATGAAAAGTGACAGATGAAGTTGGGAACCAGAGCAAGTCATTTAATAGGATCAAGGAGAGCTAAGTAGGCAGAGTTCTGGAGAGGGGCAAAGGGACCAAAGAATGAAAATGTGTGGATGAAAACAAATTTTGACATGGGTTTAGTAAGATGTTTCATACATAACATAATAACCAACAAAATTTTATTATCACTGATAATGATTCTTGTATTACTAAATACAAAATTAAAATGGTTTTAAATATTTCTGAAAGCTTCATCTTAAATTTAATGAAAAAGTTTGAAGCTCATGAATTTTTAAATACTTCTAAACACAAAAAGACAGGTGAACTTTTATTTAGAATGACTCATCTTCTAGGAATTATCTTCACAAATGAGGCTTAGAGAAACAAATTGATAACTACATATGGCATATAGAAGATGCTGAGTAAATGTATCTTGCCACTGTTATTATTCATCTTCTTGACTAAACTAAATTGTATTTTTAGACTCTTAAGAACAAATCTGTAATGTGTAGCAGAGCATTGTTCAAAGTCTTTAAAATGACTGATGTATAAAAGATGACCACTGTTTACCTTGTACTTTGATCTATTGTGAAGTCAGGTTGTTGAACAGCCTTAATCCAGTATGTATCTTTTCTATTATTATAATCATAATTGGTTCTGAGGTTATTTAATAAAATATTTTCTTAACTCTCTTCCTAAATATTTAAAAATAGGTAAAATAGCTATTGTTTTTTTTTAATCAAAAACCCCAGATAAAAAAGTTTGAACCCATGAGATCTAGAAAAGTCATATTTAGTATGGGTTTTTTGAGACTTCAGTAAGTGGCTGTATTTCTTATATTTACAAATTTTCAGTCCAGGGACTTCTCCAAATAATTTCATCATTAAAGAGTGATGAATACTGACTACTTATAAATAAAAATAGCATAAACTGTGTGCTCTAACTTGTGCCAGGTATTTCTAATGTCAGAAATTTGTTCTTTGAAAATGCTAGCATTAACAATCCTGACCTATATAAAAGATTTCAACACATACTAGCAAAAGATACTGAAACCTGAAGATAGGAGATAGGAATTACATCCCATGGAAAGTTCTTCTACTCAGTGATTCAGCCACACACATCAACTGTTGATACTCATTCTATTTTCCATTTAGGATAAGAGGAAAAATACTTGATCCTTAACAGTGATATGTACTTCTTACTATCCATCCTTGCAGACTTTTTGCCTTTTATATAAATAGGTGAGCTGATCTATAATTGAAACAAATTGAGCAGAAATCTAAACACTTAACATTCTAGAGCATCCCTTTCTGACCCTGCTACTCAGGTAACTCATCAACTCTGGTAACATAGTTGCCATCTTGCAGAGGGCACTGTAACTATAAGTCAGTCTTGACTGTTACATAAAACATTTTGTATAACTCCTTTTAACCAAATAAGAAATTTACTTATTTACATCAGAAAGAATAAAAACAAGGTCACCACAACTCTATTCTAGCAATAGTAGAACAATATGGAGCAATGTGGGTTTGTACTCACTGAAGACTTTCTTCAAACACATATACACATGATTGAAACTAAAATATCCTATTAAAATCCCTAAGAAGAAAGATGGCATTCAACACAGTTGAGAAAACTTCCAAGCATAGCACCAAAGCCTTAGTTTTCTCAGTCTGTTTATATGGGAAGAATTTTATGAAAGTTTAATCTATTCATTGAGTGCATCCAACATGGATTCTTAGCCTAGGATCCCTGAATGATCTTCAGGGTATTTATTAACACCCTAAAATTGTACATGATCTTTTTGCATATATACATACGTGCATTTTTATCAGGAAGAGGTCCGTAACTTTGAAAATTATTAAGGAAGTTCCTGGCTTTAAAAATGGTTGGGAGAGGAGAGGGTGGAGTAGAACAAAAGGAGACTAATAACCTTTGGCTTGCTTTGTGAGTACAACATGAGTCTTTTTGGGATATGCACAATGGTAAAGGTAATCCTCATTTTCAAGGCAATAAATGAGCTAACATTTATTGAACTGTCACCAAAGCCAAGTCCTTAACTGAGTGCTTTACATGTAATTCATTCATTCAAACCACGTGCCCCAAAAGTAGGTGGTGGTCTCTGCATCTTATAGATGACGGTCAGCAGCTGTAGTGGGAAGATCTCAGATCAAACCTGGTTCTATTATTGAGTAGCTCTATGACCTTATATGAGTTATTTACATCTGAGTCTTAGTTTCTTCATCTGTAAAATAAGACTACTAAGGCATTGTATAGGAATCTTGTGAGAATTAAAGAGGTTTTATTTGGAAAATGGTTAGTATATAATGAGTGTCTTGCTCAGATTAGATACTCAATAATGTTACGAAGAACAAATTCAGGAAGGTCAAAGAACTTAGACTCACCACCTAACTGGGAAATTTAGTAATTTTAATGTCAGTCCAAGAAAGCCCGATTGAATATTCACGTCTAAGGAATATTCATGGACAAAGATAGAGTTAAGTCTCAGAAGGTGAATAGGATGGGTTTAAGATAGTACATCCCAATTGAGAAGCCCTAAGGCCTTATGGCACACATTGTATACAATGAATTAGTTTATTTCCTGTGCACCTAGAAGATACTGTCTTTGGGTGTAGATATCTATACCTAAAAAATAGGTTGGGGTAGAATTTCAGGGAGCTTAAATGCCGTGTTACAGAGTAGTTCATAATAGCCATAGAAACCTAGTTTTGGGTTGGATAAACAGGCAACATATATTAAAAGACATGTTTAATATGGTGCTTAGGTATATAAGAAATATATAAATCTATACAGGTATTGATTTATTTACTTAAAATGTGTTCAGATTTAAGTTTACCTTCTATCAGTATAAGAATTGAGGTGCTTTTATATTGAGTAGTTGAAAAAGTCTAGGTTACAAAGATGATGAAAAACATTCTGTTACTTGAGTTGGAAAATCTGTGAAAAATACACTGTCTATTACAGTTTTGTTTACTTTTATAGGACCTAAGGAAAGCTGGATTGCTGATTTTTGCTAATAAACAAGATGTTAAAGAATGCATGACTGTAGCAGAAATCTCCCAGTTTTTGAAACTAACTTCTATTAAAGATCACCAGTGGCATATCCAGGCATGCTGTGCTCTTACTGGCGAGGGGTAAGAAGTCTTCATGTTAGAAAATGTGTATTTAGCTTAGAAATATGTATTACTTCTTAAAAATCAAGAAATATTTAAGGCTACTATGTAACAAATATTGTAAGGGAGAGATGTAAGACATAGTCCATATCTACAGTGAGAGTTTTTAGCTTGGTTCTGTAAAGAATAGAACACATAACACAAATAATACACTAAACATACTGAAGTAATACATGGGAGCACAGAGATGGTAAAGTTGCCATAGGAGTTCAGAGAAATGGGAGTGTCATGGAGAGCTGGAGAAGGCAGAAAACAGTTTTTATGCTGGTGGTGGGACTTGCACTGTAAAGGAGAAAACTAACACTTGCTGAGCATATGCTGTGTCTGAAGTGCTTTCTATACCATTTACTCCTCATGACAATCCTGTGGACCAGTTGATCATATTTTTTGCATAAAGAAGCTGACAAAGAAGAGGATTCATGTGTGAGACTATTTTGGGGATACTCATTATTGCCCCCAGTGTTGTCAAGTTAGTTGTTGCACTTAAAAAAATACGTACCTATTAGAATTGAATAGAGTGTGGCATGGGGGTCCTTGGTTTGGGAAAGAACGGTAGATGCCCAGAGTAGAATTTTGGCATCGTCTGTTGCCCAGGGATGAAGGATTTCAGGAAGGAAGTGGTTGTCAGCATTTTCAGATAAAAGGCCAAGGACCAGGACAGAGAGAATGTATCAGGAGAGATGGAATAGAGGAGGTTAGAAATAGGATAAAAAGTTAAAAGGATGAGCAAGCTAAAGTAAAGTTTTTGTTATAGTTGTTTTTTCTAAAAAATAGTCGATCTGTATGTGTTTAAAAGCAGTAAAAAAAGAATTAAATTGGAGACAAAGGGTTGTAAATAAAGGTCTTAAATTTTGGGTTGAAGTTAGGTGTTGAGAAAGGGCAGAAGCGAGGGACATCAATAGCTTCACTAACTCATATTGGTTCACCCTTCACCATGGTCTTGAAAGAATTTCTCACACTTCAGGTGACTCATCAATGACCCAATTATGATAGTAAATTTGACAAGAAAGATAATCTACACCTGATAAAAGATTTAACTTACATACTTTGAGTTAACTGGGTGGAAAATAGATCATTAGGATAGCTATGAATTCTAGCAGTTTCTTTTTTAAAAGAAGAAATCAATAGATAGCGTTATCTTTTCAGTTTCTGGTTTACGTGGGCTCCATTTGCAGCACTTAGTAAGTGGAAGGCTTGGTTTGGGGGGAAATGTATCCCTTCTGCAGTCTGGTCACATTGGTCTAAATTGTTGGTGTTAGTATCAGTTGGCATTTTTGACTCCCACCTCTGCCATTTGCTAATCTCTCTAAGTCCAGCTTCCTTCTGTGATATGGGAAATGCTCTGGCCTCAGTGTTGTGAATATTAAATAATGGGCAGTTTCTAGTTTGCTGTGAGGTAACTACTACTCATTTATTAACAGTTTGGTGTTAAATAATTTATTCACCCATCATTATTATTGTGTGCCATTTCCTACCAATAGTTTAAAAGTAAGGAATCTAGTAAAAGGAGGAAAGTATGGGCGAACATCAAAATAACCATTTATTTACTTCATTGTCCTTTTTTTTTTTTTAATATATACACTCTTTATGTTATTAGACTCATACACAAAAATCTGAGTTCTGGGTTTTTTAAATGTAATACGGTAGCATCATTTCTCATCTATGAAAACTCTTCATAGATAATAGTTAATGCTTCATAACCTTTCTTCATTTTGTTGTAAGATAGTAAGTACAACCATTTATCTCTTGCTAAGCATTTAGTTTCTTTTACAACTCTGAACATCTCTTTCTATATTTGGGATTATGCTCAGTTGCCCATTGTTCAGTGATAACTGACATTAGTAATACGAGACTTTATTTCCTTCAAGTCTTTAAATATATACATGTAACATTATGTGTATACTGCATATTTAGCTTAACATCCTAACATTTTTGCCTCATTTATATCATATTGTAAAACAATCTTTGAACAGAAGTTTTTAATATTTGAATATTTAACATGAATGTTCTATAATTTGTTAGATATTTATCTTTCTAGATATTTAAGTTTAACTTTTTTCTATTATAAATGCTTTAAACAGTCATACATAAATCTTTATCTCTGATTTTTTAAATATATTTCTAGAAATAGAAAAAAGTAGAGAATATTGATTTTAAATATTTTTGATACATATTGCCAAATTCCTTCCTGTGGGCACTCATTGTATAACTATCAAGCTCTTTCCCTGTGTCAGGCTGTTCTAGGCATTAGAGACATAGTGGAACCAAAAAAGCCTGGCTGTTGTGTGTGTGCCAGTACGGCTTCACTGTAACACCACCAACATTGAATATTCCTGATTTTTTGATCTTTGTTGGTTAGATAAATGAAAATTGATATCTTCTTTGAGTTTGCTGTTCATAGCTTTTTAGTTGAGAATTTAATCAAATGGTTTTATTTTCTTCATAGATTATGCCAAGGCCTTGAATGGATGATGTCACGACTTAAGATTAGATGATCTCTGCTGACCTCTTCTCATAGACTTTGTATAAACAAAGTGCTGGACTTCACCTGAAAGCTGCAAAAATTAATGGTTTAGATATATTTATAATAAACTGATTTAAACTTTTTTCTATAAGAAGAAAAATTAAGACCACTTATTTGAAACAAAGATGAAGTCTCATCTTCCAATTCTGCTTTCTCATTAGTTCCTTCCAAAGCAAGGTCTTAAAGCTGTGATTGACATTTTTCTCCTAATGAATCCTCTCAGGACATTGTGTAGACTGTGGTAAGTGCAAAGGGAGAGGAAGATATTTTTAACTTTAAGAGCTTTATTACCAGTATAACCCTCCCTAGTTGAATGTTCCCTTCTTGTTTCATTAAGTAAAAGTACAAATCAGCACAGATACTCAGTTTCCAATATTTTATAATGTAATGTTACTTATGAAAGTATTTTCCATAAAGTTGTGTGTTTGTTGTGTATATACCTCAAGTGGAAGTTAATGGCTTTGATTTATGTTCTAAAGAAAAGCAAATAACACAAAAATTAATAGTATCCTTAGTTATAACCATAATCAGATGAGTACTGGCAGTGGTGTTAAGTGCCATTTTGTGCTTTTCCTCAATGTTCTCTGTGTTACACTAGTCAACTCCCCAAAATCATTGAGCCGCTCTTTATTTAAAAAAAAGAAAAAGGAAAAGGCTTGACATCATGTACCTGTTTTTCTGTTGTTGATCATATTACATACCTAGAAGTATATAACCTAAATGAGTGGAATATCTCTCAAGTTCTTGGCTTAGATTACTAATGGCCAGAATTGCACACTGAGCAGTTCCCAGAGTCTTCCCTTTATTGGACCTGTGCCATGTAAATTACTGAGTAAATTATTGACCATTAATCAGTCAGTCATTAATTGTGATTAAAATTATCAACAGGTTTTTTTTGGGCATTAATTGAAAACTTATGTGAAATTTGTCTACAAGAGAACTATCACTATCACCCTATAAATATTACCAAATAAGTTAGAGTCTTAAATATCATATTGTATGTCAAACATTTAAAGTGAATTTGAGATGAAAAGTAAAGCATGTTTTATAAGCAACAAAGATTTCTTAACTTTAGATTTTCTTATTTCTTAGGAGTTGGAATAGCTTGAGATTTTTTTTCTGTTTTCTCTTACACCATGTGAATGCATTGACAATTACAAAACAAATTTTTTTAATGCTTTTAATAATTTGGTTTAAAAATTGATCAACATTTTGGGTGGGTTATTTTTATTAAGTCCAAAATTCTTTTTTATGTTTGCTTAGGATATATTTTGTCTCAGTATCTGAAAGTCAAAGATATAAATGTGTTAAAACATACTCTTGGGTACTCTGTGTATCTTTCATGCCCTGAAAATCTGAAGGCTAATCCAAACTAGCATATCTTAGAATATTCAAGGAAAAAAATAACTACTTTTAATAACAGCCTTTTCGATTTCATGAAGCTTTGATGAGGAACAATAGTACGTAGGTAAGCATTGATAAAATTTTGAAAATTCCTTTCCATGAAATACAGTATCCTCAGTATCTAAATCCCAAGTCAGGCCTGGGAAATTAGTGATAAATATTGGATATTTTGTGTTTTATATATATATTATATTCAAAATGCAAGTACAGCATTTTAATATTTGTCAACTTTTACAAAAGTAAATCCTAAATTATGAAGCCTTATTTGTTTCATATGTTCTCTTTTTCAAATCACTTGAATTAAACTTGTTTATCTAAAAAACTCCCTTAACCCAAATCTATTCAGTAGGTGTTTCAATTTCATCAGAGATAAATATTTTGTAAAGTAGCCTAGCAAATCCGCACCTTTTATCTTTTTTTAATCTTTCAACTTGAATAGTCATGGTTTAGTCCTTTTGATTGCTGCCACAGTTTAGCAGTACACCAGCACATTCCCTTGTCATCAAGATGTTGGCTAAAATTTACTATTAATTGGATTGTTTAAAGCATGTAGTACATTGTTACACTTGGTTTAGTATAGTAGGGTATGACACACATGGAGTCATGAGGATGCATGAAATCTTATGCCACATTTACAAAACACGATTTTTTTGTTAAGTCCTACCTTCCTAGGCTAAGCATTAGAAACATGGTGGTACTTAAATACTTGTGCATAAAACCAAAATTACAATGTGAAAATTTTTTTAATTCATGTATGAAAACACATCAAAATAATTTAAATGGTATTATTTCTAATAAGATGGAGAGTCTCATCAATAGTCATATTGGCAATTTATGTGTAGTTTAGTTGGAATTAAGAGCAATGCTTTTAGGTTTATAATATGCTACTTTGGGGTGTAAACAATCATCTTATTTAGGGTCATTGTGCTCAGCTGTGTAAAGAACAAAGCTTCATACCTCCATACATGTGGCTGGATTTAAATATCCTGTGTTTGATACTAATTTTGAATCCGTGTGGCTTCTCTTGATACATTGGTTAAAGTAACATTATGTTATAAGCATTTAAATTATGTTTCATTTTGTTGTAAGAGCATTTATGAAATCTTACACATTATATTAAGGGTTCTTGTTTGAAATTCTCAGTTCTCTCTTCTTTGGCTCTCATAAATGGGTAAAGAATACAATGAAGCAGGTGGTTTGGGAAACTGGGTAGGGAAATGACATTTTGCCTTAAGAATAAAAAAGTGATTTAGCACTGCTGGCTGGCTTTTTAATGCAGGTAAAGTGATTTTAAAAGTGTGGTATGAAATGGAAGAGTTTCTGCCTTCTGGCCTTTGAGAAGTGCCTAGTAGGTAATTAGAGTGAGATCACAGGGAAGTGCAGGGAGCTTGAGGAAAGGTAGGAAGTCCCTGGGATGTTCTTTTCTTTTTTGCCTGAGTGTATAGTGTTAAGATGCCTAGAAATGGGATTCTGTTGTCCCTTCTTTTATAGGCACTTTACATTTTGTGCTGAGACTACAGCAACCACATACAGTACAGACAACCTCAAAATCTGTTTATATTAGTGTAAATAGAAAAACTGTAGACAACTTTGTAGTTTTCTCTGCAGGCATTTTTGGGAATATATCTGTAGTGTGTTCTGTTTTGTATATAGGGGAGAGCAGCACATCCCATAGTATCTGTGTACTTTGGGGTCATCTTCTTTCAATGCCTACTTGCATCCTGGCTTCATCTCTGTTTAAGGCTGGGTAGAGACAAAGTTTCTTTGCATGGCTTAACTTTGACCCCTCCTACTGTCCAATATAATCTGAAACTTCTCGCTTCAGGATCGGCTTTCCCATAGCTGAACTATCTGTTGCACCTTTATTTTCATTCACCATCAATGAAGATGTGGTATCTTGGTCCTGGAGGTATTCTAAACTTTGCCTGTACCCATTTTCCCCACACCAGTAGTTTTTAGGTTCTTTAATTCTTTACTATCCCCCCACCACTGGCTTAATTCATTGAATGTACTTTGCCCATTAGAGAGTATTGTGAAAGTTGTTGAGTACATCAGAAGACTGGCTTGGTGTGTATTCAGCACATAAACGCCAGTAATAGAATCCTTTAATTTATACTGTATTTAACATTTTAATGCTTCTTCATTTTAGTGTTGTATGCTGAAAAGTAGATTCAGAAAGATAAGAAAACTACCCAGACTGTCAGCTCCTTGAGCTACTAGATAGGCATGGAAGGGAATAAGTTATATGTGTATTATCTTCCCATTACCAAAAATGAACAATTTAAGTTGGATAAGATGCCAAACCAAACCTATATGTAGTATTTAACCTGAAAACATCCTTACATCCTTAAAACCATAGCCCTCATTTCATTTTCCCCCTCATGTTTACTTAAAAAGCAATGATAAATGTTAGATGTGTAAAGGAATTAGTAATGAGAAACCCATCTTTACAAAAATGGACCTGTTGAAATGGGCTTTAAAAGACATCAAAATCGTCAGCCATCATGAGTGTGTGCTGTGTAGATAGACATAATATAGAAAAATTACTTCTATAAAGTTCCACTAATACAAAAATAAGACTTCTGTATTATGCTTCCTCAAAGAATGGTGATTATTTTAAGACCATAATGGTGGAGTAAATGAAAGAAAAAGAATTAAAAAGCTTTGGATACTAAAAGTGACTGCTTCAATTAAACCCTAAAATTGTGTGTGGAATTATGAAGAAATTGTAACAGGATGAGTTAATATTATCAATTGCCTAATCCTTGTGTATTGTTCTAAAAACTAAAGTTTAAATCTTTATTGTCTTGCCTGCTAGATAATGCTGTTCTTTGGTAGAAAATTCCCCTAGTCTGTACTCAAGAAGTGCCTAAAATTTATTTGTGTTGATTTTTAAGTCCATTTAATAAATGATATGTGTTTTCTATGGTATTATATGTGCTTGGCTTACTGTTGACACAGCTCTAAGGGTTTCTAAGTCACGATTTGTGCTCTTTTTGAGTAAAAAACCTTGAAATTGAAAATACCCGTCATAACCCTCAACAAACCCTAACTTAAGGAAGCATGAGCAAAACCATTTTTCTTTTCTAATGGAGATTATTCTGTAACCTTGACATTAGTTAATTCAGAGACGAGACAACTGAACTCTATTTCTATTTTTTTAAATAGTTTTAGTGCACAAAATTACTGTGTGTTTTAAAATAGTGAAAATTATTGCTTATAAAAGAGTAACCTCTTAATTCTCATACTAAGTGATTAGTAACTCTTGGTTGTAGCATTTATATCTTGAGCCATTTCATGTGTGCATATTCCAAAATCCTTCCTTTTTATTTCGATTCTACTTATAAACCAAAATATTTGATAGAACCCTGTTACATTCCTCAAATAATGCTTCTGTCTTTTTTTCCCCTGACCATATTGAGTACCATAAACTCTGAGAGCAAAGACCTGATTGTATTTGCAGCAATGTGCGGTTACATTGTTTTCGTATTGTAAATCATCCTGCATGGACAGTAAATGTGTATATGATTTTAAATTATTGTAGTGTATACTGTTCTCTTCCCCAAAACTTCTTACATTGGTGATATATATATATAATATTCCTCTAATTGTTTTTGCTTGAAATGAGTCCTTTAGATTGGAGTAGGCTTTGCTTAAATTACGTCCCTTAAGATTCCACGAGAGGAAGTGATACCTGCAGAGCACTTTTACAGATACTTTCTGGATTAATGTTCAAGATAACACATGTAGGAAGAAATTATAATGTCTAAAGAGGGCTCCTTTGGTTGCTAGAGATGAGAAAAATATACACTAATTTTATGCTTAAAATACATTTTACTAATTGTATTGGTTTTAAATATGACAAATTCTTCTTACAGCTGTTGATCTTCCTCGCTAATTGTATTTTCCTAAAGATGCCTAGATGAAAATCAGTTCCAACTAGTTTCTTTCTAAAGTCCCCCTCGCAAATCGAGCTAGCTCTGTGTGTGTTGGCGTAATTGAAGCTGCATTTACTACCACAAAGAAATTAGAAAACCTTTTGAAAATGTTCATGTTTGTTGTATTGGGATGCCTAATATGGTAAAAGGTTTTGACTCAAGCTTTGTATGCAAGAAGAGGCAGACAATTTGTCTAACCTCTATCATTTTATGAACTTGTGTTTCTGTGTATCCTAGGAAAATTTTACACTCAAGGAACATTCTAAAAAGTGAGGATCTTAGAGCACTTGGGTGCTTTTGTATTTCATCACTGTTGATGTTCCAGATACCTGGGGAAAAAGTGCTGCAGGGTCTTCTTGCCAAGATAGCTTCCCGGTGACCAGGGGATATTGATGTTTCTGTGGATGTTGGGAGGGAGTGGTAAATGGGAGTAGAGACTTCTCCATTGGTAAAGTATTCCAATCAGCTGCTTTGCAGATGAATTACTTCATAAAATTTGTAACAATGTTCTTTTGTCCTTAGCTGACTAAAATGTTAAGCTCCAAAAATGTAAAGTGTTGGTCAGGTGACCAGTAGCAGGACCTTCTTGTAATAAATAAAGGAATAATGTTAAGGTATGTGTGGGGGGAAATGACAAATAAGATTTGACTGGTACATTTCCATGTTTGATATGTACATTAAGTTTTATTTTTTAAGTTGCATGTTAACCTAGGATAAAGTGTTGTCTCTGCTTTATGCTTTGAGTAAAAAGGAAAAACATGAATTAAATTGTTCTCTGGTATGTAAACCTTTTCTTTTAGAAAGGGTTAATTATAATTATTATTCACACATCTATATTGTCAGTGTTTTTATTCCGGTTTATTGTTTGAATGTGTGCAGACTTGGTGGTGGTAGCCTGGGCTGGGATCTGCCAGGGAAATTGAAAATGTATGACAGTTACATTATGCAGGTAACAAAAAGATTGTTCTCATCTTCTCTAGGAAACTTTTTATGGAACTTAGTTCACAGAGAGCTTTCTATCTTTTATTTCCAGTTAAATATTTGGATTGGACATGAACCTGATAAATAGTGATGAGTTTGTATGTGATTAATTTGTCTTAAAATGTGAGAAAAACCCAGTCATTTAAAATGAATATTACTCAAGGGAACCTTCATGAGAATGGTTGAGAGTAACAGAAGAAAAATGAAGGAAAAAAGCTGGAAGAAAAGCCTCCATGTATGTGCTTATGTGAATGTTGGCTTTCTCCCCTCTACTAGAATGTAAGCTCTAGGACGTCAGTGACCAGGAGCGTGTGTTGAGCACAGTGCCTGGTATTTATAACAGGTATTCATTTATAACCCTTAACTAATGAACAAATGAATTTTTCCCCCATGGATAGATTTATTCTTACCTGTGTGATTGTAGATATGCTGCCTAATGTAATTTTTATCTCAATTCTTACTTCTGCTTTATTTCAAAAGGGATGCAAGGTGACTTTTTCTTATTAGTTGTTGTAATAGAAATCAGACTTATTTCCTTTAAAATGACCTAAAAATAACATGCAGTACAAACAGATATATAACAAATTGATTTGAAATCTGTGTAAATCTGCATCTTTGAATGTAAGGAACATACCAGAAGTTTGTTGTGACCATCTGCAGATGCGGAAATAGTAAATGGTGTAACAGCTCTTTTGGTGAAAAAATATCTGTCGTCATCTTGATCTTTTATACTCTTTTTTTTTTTTAATCCCCCTTCTGCTAGTCAGTAATTTTTGTCCCTTGAAATGAATAAGATTTTCACAACATAAAGTAGCCTCTGACAGTCCTTTTGAATGTGCTCCTTTTAACAATTTTCAATCTTTGAGAATCCAAGAGATGGGCTTCCTAAGTGACTAGTTAGGTCACTACAGACCCTACATTCTAGCAAATCACATATATCAAAATGGATGAAATACTTTTGGAACAGTCCCAATGTCTGGATGCTTCTAGTATGTTGAACCCCAAATATTTTGCTGTATTTCAGCTACTTTTTTTGTACAAGGAACATTGTGATGAATATATTCTACTGAAAGCTTTCTTTCATAGTTAGGAGTATTTCTTTTGGTTAGAATCCCGAAGTAAAACTCCTGGATTAGATGGCATGGTGGGATTTGGGAATGCCTGTTATTCCATATTTAGTTAATATTGTGTGTTTTTAAAACCTTCCCACTTTAATAAAAGGATAAGCCTGTTGTCTTATTTGCACATATTTGATTATTGGACTATTTTTCTACCTATTTCAGTTTCCTCAATTATTCTGCTTTTTTCATGTATTATTAGAATCTTAGTGTTTTCCTCTGAATGAAGTTCCTTAAGTAGTGAATATGTTAGCCTTTGGTCATGTTTTTGCAGATTTCCCAGTTTGCACCTTTAATTCTTATAATTTTCTTTTTAACATATAAAAGTGTTTATTAATGTGAAAAATTACATAAATACATAATTTGAGTGAAAACTAGAAAACACGTAATAAAATCATCCTTTATCACACCATTCTAAGAAAAACAGTATTGACACTTTGGGATGGATATGTATATTTGAGTGTATGTTTTGAATATAGAATTCTAAAAAGCCCTGTAATTTTTTTACACAATAAGCATCTTTTACATATAAAACATTATTTTAATGGATGTATTAGCTGTATTTACAGTTCTTTGGCTAGTACTGATTTGAACATCTTCATAGATTTTTGGTCATTTGTATTGCATAAAGTTTCTACCTCTGTACATTTTGTTAGACCTGTGTGAAAGTTGTTTTAAAGAATACTAATCTTTGCCATATGTCATTCACCTTTCAACATTTTTTATGGTATCTTAGGTTGGTCTCAGAAGAATTTAAAATTTCAGTTGGATATATTGGGCCTTCTTTTTGGTTTGTACCTCTTGTTCAAAATTTTGATGATAGAGAAGATGGAAAATAACGTAGCTAATGGTTGTAGGATATTTTTATTGTACCCTGAATGGATAACAGTGACTTTCTATTTATTCTTTTCTTCCTCCAATAAACTTTATAGTTAATGTAATAGGTTCAATAAAGAGGGAATTCTTGGCTTTTCAACCTACTGGAATATATGTCCTGCATTTCCTTTAAGTGTTTATGGTTTTGCCCTTTTTTTTAAGTACCCTACTTAACTGATACATTGAAATTTTACAGTCTTAGGTAAAAATAATGTTAGAAATCCTGTGTTAATTCATTCAAAAAATACATCAGTGTCCATCCATTAATGTCCAGCTCAGCATATTAAGAGATTTGTTAAATCTTATTAAACATAGGCTGCCATTAAAATTATTTACAAGCAGAATTTAATAAGCTGGGGAAATGATTTATGATTGTGACATGTTAAGTGGGAAAGAAAGGATACAAACTTCTACATCTACTATGATCTCAACTATGTTTGGAAGAAAAGTGTGAACTTATGGAAGAGAAGTATAGGGAAAAAAAGGAAGAAAATGTATCATACCAATATTACAGTTTGTTCTAAGGCAATAGCATTGTAATTGATATTTTTCTGATTCTTCATGCTTTTATGTATCCCGCATATTCTCTATTGAGCACATTACACTGTTAGAAAACAATGTTGGGTCATTTTTGTTTTTAAAGAATCATCTAATAGGGGAGGGAAGAAATATAAAAAATGTTTCTAATTTAGAAGTAAATGAGGTGCAATACTCTCATTCTCCCCCGCACCCCACCCTCTTCTTCCCTCCCTTTTATCCTCTTCATCTAACACTACAGTTTAGGGGCATTATGGAGAGAGATCAAGATAATTACTAAAACTTAATTCACTGATGCAATACTATTTGCAACCTCCAGTGCAAGGTTGAATGACTTGATAGAATTCTTATCAGTCAATGTGGATGTAGAGATGAACCACTCTTTTAGCTTATTACTTGGTATTTTACTGCTTCTGAAGCATTCTTGAGCATAGATATTCTCCATTCAGATAGTTATTCTTAAAAGGTGTAAGCAAAATACAGTGAGAGTTAGACAAAAGGTATTTCCAGTGGGGGATTCAAGACAGGTTTGTGTAAGTGGGATGATACAGTAAACCAATCATTGGACTGGGAGACAACCTGGGTTATAAATATAGGCCTGGCATTAATGTATGCATAGCTTTGTGCAAATTTTCAGTGCCTTAAGACCTCAGCTTAATCACTTTTTCAAAACTTTTTTAGCAAAGTTGATATGTGCATAAGAGAAAGGCAGTACACCACACGGTTAATAGTCGCTTTCTGTTGGGGATGGATTGTGGGAATGCAAAGTCTAACTTTTAAGCAGATATAAAATGACTTAGTTGTTACTATTAAAGTATTTTATTCTTATTTAATTTATTATATTGGCTTGTTATACTTAGTATCAAAATTATGGTTAAATAATAAATTATTTTTAAAGTATTGAAGTCAAAGAATATAAATGAATTTAAAATTAATAAAAGAATATTAATATAAATATAATAAATTATAATTTTCTACTCCAGCAATATCAAAATTACAATTAACATGCTGTTCGAATATTAGAAAACAAGCTAACACTTTAAACAGTAATAAGTGTATTAAAACAACTTTTAAAAGGGTTTTCAGGTAATCAATGCTAAACTTTTAAGTTATCAACTGATAAGAGTGCAAAAGTGATAATATATGGTTGCTGCAAAAAATATTGATTGCGGTCTTGCTCAGGGACAGTGCTGATGATGTCATTTCCATAGACAGTACAATGCTGCCGCTGGCCCTTGTCCGTCTAGGAAGAGAGCTTACTTTAAAAAAGACCATGAGGTAATTTGCAATTCAGGTGCAGTATTTTCAAGAAAATGAGCCGGAAGTCTACTCATTAAAGTCAAAGGAAACCTTGTGTATTTTTTTGTTGTTGTTAGTATTTGTGTTTCTTCAAAGTAACCATAACAGCTTGCATAGCCCACATTAGGAATTCAGGAAAAGGTGACAGTGGTAAGAATTTTGTTCTTTGAAAGACGTCTTTGGAGGAGACCTTGGGGAAAAAAATTACATAGGTGTCTGGAATGTAAACCTACATTGCTAATTTCATCTAAGGCATTTAAGAAGCGTGTTGCAGAGATATTTATTATCTGTTCCCTCACAGTGTAAGGCTGACAAGCATATAAGTGCACGAGTTCCCACAGCTTGAAAGCAGTCAGAATTCCCATCTTTGGCTCAAAGAAAACAAATGAAGTGAGTAGCATTCAGTGGACCAATAACCTGGCCAAAAATCCATTAAGCATATCTAGTTTTCTTAGGACATTTTAGCTACAAGTACTTTTTGATACTGTATGTAGGCCTTCACTCCCCTTTTCTAGTGTCTAAAAAAATGTGCCCTTTTGGCTTCCTATATTACAATAGCAAAATAAAATTCTATAGATCCCTAAGTACCCACCATGTCTTAGAAGCTGTGCTAGAGGTCAGGATGAACAAAGACATCCGGTTGTTTAATCTGATGGAGAGGATTTATGAACAAATAGCTTGTGCAGTGTTAGGAACATAGCAGATACAAGTATTTCTGTTTCTAATTATTAAATTTCTAACCTGTGTACTCTTGAAATGACCAAAAAGATCTTTAAGAATAAATCAGTGTCACAGCATCTCTCCCTTTGATTAGGTATCAGTTCTAAGATTGGTTCTTCTATGGGGATATTTTTATTATATTTGTTCCTGCTGACACTCCTGTGCCTACTGGGCGTTTGTCAAGACATGCCACCCCTCTGCTGCTCTGAGTCATCCAGAGTTTTACCAAAACTCCCTCTTCCCCTTTGAC